AAGAAAGCTTGTATCAAAATGTATTGTAGATTGATTTATACTGGTCCTGAACTAAAACAAGACCCAGAGACAGTGGAATGGAGAAGCAAATTGAGATGCAGCATACAATAGGAAAAACCACTCCACTGACGGGTGGAACCACATAGGTGAATCTGAGAAACAGTCTGCCAAATGGAGGGAAAAAGCCATATGCAAATAATTTTTACAAATGCTTAATTCTAGGTAGGTAAAAGTATTGTAAAAAGATCCAATCAGTAGCTGCCTGGGACCAGACACAAGTTGGAGAATCAACTACAAGTAGGCCAGAGGAAATGTTTTAGGTCAATGGAACATTCCATGCATCGTTCACTGTTTAGTTATATAGAAGTATGTGCCTTTCAAATCCCATCAAACATGCACTTAAATTAGGTGCATTGTACTAAATCTAAATTGGTCCTTCAGAAAATGGATTATAAAGAAATAATGAAAAGAATTTGGTTCATAGAGGGAAAGGTGCACATTCTTATGAGCCAAAGAAATGATCAATAGTGTACATAAAGTAATAAATGGAGAATGTACACATTGTGGGAGAATAGGAGACTATTATCTTGTCTAATAATGCCAGTATTACTGTTTAGCACATATTAAGGGTTGGATAATTGTTCATGGAATGAAATGAGTTTAAGTGAACAGATTAAAAATCCAAAAATTTTAAACAAGTTACAAATCCTAGACAGTAGCCGATAGGAAGAACATTTTCTCTGAAATGATAAAAGGAAAATGTGCAAATGTGGTTTGATTTGAGTCTGTGAATTGGCAATTATCGGAGTTTCCATCTCCAATGAATGATCAATGGGCCCTATTGATTCAAGAATTAGAGAAAGAGGTAGAAGGAACTTTCAAAGTAATAACAACACTTCTGCTCTGACTAGGAGGTGGTAGTAGCCATCAGTAGCTGGGCATTTCTGTAACTACAATGACTGTGAAGTGTACTTTTAAATATTATCCAAAAAGACACCTCATCTTGGTGAAGCTGTAGATCCACTGCACCTCTCCTTTTAGTTGGTGTAAATTGATTTTTAAAATTTTTTTAAAAAGTGTTCTACAATATCTCTGAAAGGCAAATAAATATTTAGCCCTGTAAATCATAACTCCATTCTAAGGAATATAGCCAAAAGAAATAAATGTTTACATCCACAAAAAGTCACATGCAAGAATATTCTTTGTAGTTTTATTCCTGATTGAGTTGAACTGGCAAAAGCAAAAACCCAAGCTGCAATGAAATATGAATGCATAAAAACATGATTTAGTTTTACGAGCAAAGCTGTGAATGAGTATCAAAAGCATTGTGCTGAGATAAGCCAGACAGGAAAGAGTCAAATGCTGTTTGGTTCCATTCATAAGGAACCCAAGAACAAGAAAAATTAATTGATAATTTAAAAAGTCACAGTAATGATTACTCTTCATGGAGGGGGGGTGAGGAGGTTTGGGGAAAGAGTTTGAAGAAATCTTTAGATATATTGGATATGTCATCCATCTCAGAAAAATTTGAATCAATATTCTAGAAAGAGATATTTAACAACACAAAAACAGTAAATTTTGCCTGTTAATCCAATCTGATATCTTTATAAGAGTTAGCTATCCTTTTGATGTTTATTTTGATCATTAACATTTTTTCTATCATTTTAAATTTTGGAGACATTTTGCCATACTTTCATGTTTTATTTCTTTTCTATTTTATTTTTTCAAAATTGAGCAATATCCTTAGTTAACTTTTCTTCTATAATATGAAGCTTTATTAATTACCTGTAGCCTACTAGAGACAAATATTTTAACCTGCATTTTTCTATATAAAGTAAAAGATAGACAATATTTCTTTTAAACCAAAAATATGTCCTCTTTATATCATTAGAGGAAAAAATCTAGAATTTTGTTTCCAATTAATTATTAGGGGCTTTGTGGGGGGTGGGGTTTTGATGTTTTTGTTTTTGTTTTTTCACTTGAATTCAGGGCCTGGGTTCTGTACCTGTGTTTTTGTGCTCAAGGCTAGCATTCTGTCACTTGAGCCACAGCTCTCCTTCTGGCTTTTTGGTGTTTAATTGGGTATAAGAGTTTCACAGCCTTTCCTGCCCTGGCTGGCTTTGAACCATGATCCTCAGATTTCAGCCTCCTCTACAGCTAGAATTAAAGGTGTAATCCACCGGCACCCGTCATTATTAGGGTTTTTCTCCCTTACAGCATGCCAAGATTATTTCAGGAATCCTTTCTTAAGACTATTATGAGGCAGGCATGTGACTTATGCTTATAATCTTAGCTACTCAGGAGGCTGAGATTTGAAAAGCATGAATTGAAACCAGCCCAGACAAGACAGTTATAAGACCCTTATCTCCAATTAACCACCATCAAGCCAGAAGTAGAGGCATGGCTCAAGTGGTAGAGCACCAACACAAACAAGCTAATGGTCAGTCAGTGCCCAGGCCTTGAGTTGAAGCCCTATTACTGGCACATCTTCAAAATTTGTTAAATTTTACTTTTTTTGGGGGGGTCCAGTCATGGGGCCTGAACTGTGGGCTTGGGCGCTGTCCCTCAGCTCTTCAGCTCAAGGCTAGCACTCTACCACTTGAGCCACAGCACCACTTCCGGCTTTTTTTTTTCCTGCTTATGTGGTGCTGAGGAATCGAACCCAGGGTCTCATTCATGCAAGGCAAGCACTCTACCACTGAGCCACCTTCCCAGCCCCAAATTTTACGTTATTATTATACTTATTGGTCCACTACATTGATCAAAGTTAGGTTTTCCCTAATTGCTGGAAAATTTGCCTGGATGTATGGTTGATAAACTTTTAAATGTGTGTCTGAACATATCTTTGTAATCTTGCCAGATATAAACTTAGAGAACAATAATTCTTTTTCTCTGGACCTTCTGCTTAGCTTCAATGAAGAATTAGTAGCAGGGGAGGATTGGCTTTTGGCTAAGACCGCCTCTTTTCCTTATTCACATTTGTTCTGTTTCCTATAGTATATTTTCTGTTTAGTCCAACCAGTATTTTATTCAATGTGAGTACAGTGTTTATTCCCATTCAAGCCCTTCCTTGTGTTTTTACAATATCCGCCTTTCTCTCTACAAACACCATTTTATCCACTCTCCCATCATATCTAAAAATCCCACCACCGTTATGGACTTTTCTCCCTTTAACCCGGCTCAAATTAACCGCCCCCTGTTTGTCACAGAATTCATTGTCTCTGCCATATGGGTTTTGCACTTCATAGGATCTAAGAACTTCCTATCTGGAAAAGATCATACAATCAAATTCATTCATGTGTCAGATGAAAAGCTGTGCCAGGCCAGCCACATGTATAACTGATTATGTGAGGTTCTTGGACGTTCTGACGCTATCTTTTAACACCTAAATAAGATGGTTCTTAAGCCCCAAGTACTTCTGGGAATTCTCCTATTCAAATTCTGTGGATCCCCACAAGTCAGGCTCTTCTGGTAGGTATAGCAGTCAACACCCACCATTGCTCCTGGTCCTGCTATGCGCTGGGTTTCTCACTGGCCCGTGCCACTGGATATGCATGAGTGCCACCAGCCCAGAGTGTATAACAGACTTAGTGCAGAAATGTCTCTCTCAAAAGAGTTTTGAGAGGCTGAAGGGCAAGCATGACTTTCCTAACTCTTACGAGTTCTCATACAGAGGACTGACAGTAGATCCTTAACAATGCTGGAAGATGGTGTCCTGAAATCCAGCCTCTATGTCTCCTCTTTGTTGAGTATTTATTCTGGAAGTGTCCTTTTAGATCATTATTTACTGCTGTCACCTTTCCTTTTCATTTTTCCAATCTCAGGTTATTGTTTCCTTAGAGTCATCTATCTTTCCATCTCCAGCCTAACACTAAATATTAATTTCCATATCCCCAAGTAAAATAAGATGTACATAGAAAAGCTAACACAAAGAATCAGCTAAAACTTTAGAATCTAATTTTTTTATTAAAAAAATTTTTTTTTGCTAGTGGGGCATGAACTCAGGGCCTGGGCACTGTCCCTGAGCTTCTTTTGCTCAAGGTTAGCACTTTCTCACTTAAGCCACAGCTCTACTTCTGGATTTTTCTGTTTATGTGTCACTGAGGAATGGAATCCAGGGCTTCATGCATGCTAGGCTAACACTGTACCACTAAGCCACATTTCCAACCCAGAATCCAATTATTTTTCCATTTAATATAAGCAGAGTTCATTCCTCCATGAGTCTCTGGTAATGAAAGGAAATAGTATAATAATCTATTTTCTCCTTGAACACAATAAATGCCTAGGAGTTGTGAGTTTGTTACTGTTCATTTCAGCTACACGTGAATTCCCCCAGACTCATGGTAGAACATCAGTCATATTCGAGTCCTACACATTTTCATTATGTTATAGTACCATTTTTTCTGTCCCAGATTTCACCCAATTTCACATTTTGTTATATTCCTGTTTTTATTGTGTTTTTGTTGTTTCATATATGTAACCCCATGAATCTGGAGGTTGGAGTGGAAATAGTGTTTATTGAGATTGTCAGAACATCAAGGTGCTCAAGGATTCTGGTGAGATGACTAAGCATCTGTGATGTCCAGGTATTAAGTGCTTTATATGATACTCTCTAATTCATCTTTGTTATCCCCATAACACAGAAAAGGACATTGGAACCCTAGGAACTTAAGTAACAACATGACTACATTGAGAAACTAGATCTGTCTGATTCAAGCACATTTTTCTCTCCCCATCTAACCCCATGAATTCTAAGACTCCATGATGATCATTTGGCTATCAGTGATTTTCTTTTTTACAAACAGGAACTTTACAGCATGCCTATTAACAGCTCTTATTAGCCACATCATCTTTGCAAGATGATAATCTCTTTGAGTTGTCAAATACCATCTACTTTGATAGGATTGTGCAAGTTCATATGTGAACCTGATATTTTTCTTTTTGCATTTCAGTTTGATCCATTAACAATTGAAAGCAAAAAAGCAGCAACTGTAGTGTTAATGCTTAATTCTCCAGAAGAAGAAATTTTGGCTAAAGCATGTGAAGCCATTTATAAGTTTGCTTTAAAAGGTTTGGAATCCTTCAATTTATCTTTCTATTTCACTAGGTTCCTTAAAATATTAACTACACACTGTGTACTCTTCTTACCAGTATTTAACTTATTTTTGATCAAATGAATTCTTTCAGACAAACAGAATATCATCTAATTCATCACCTGAACATAATGTGTCTCCCTATGCACCTAAAGAGTCAATTAATCACTGGGCAGAATAGCCATTTGGAACACATCACTGTACTTTTAAAACTGGCAAATGTCACAGGAGTTAAAAAAATTCCCGGGGCTGGGAAGGTGGCTCAGTGGTAGAGCACTTGCCTTGCATGCTCGAGGCCCTGGGTTCGATTCCTCAGCACCACATAAGAAAAAAAAAAAAAGACTCCACATAAAAAAATTCCCCAGTGGTCAAAGTTGGAACAATTTGAACATCAAAATAATGATGATACCCAAAGTATAAAATAATATCTATGAGCCCATACAGTCTCGGTGTAAGTAAGTGACGAAATAAGTGAGTGAAAGAGAAAAGCCACATCTTCCACAGAGAAGGACTCCATGTACTTTATGCAAATACTCTGCTTCAGATAGCTGAGCTATAACTTTCTAGGTGTAGACTGCACTTTGTAACTGTATCAACATGACAAAGCATGACACACATTACCCCAGATGAGAGATCAAAGACAACATCAACAGGACAAATCAGACTGATGATATGTGTCCTTGAGATGGTGGCATAAAAACAGTCCTTTTATTGTTGTCATTCCTCCTCTCCAAAAATGTTATAACCCTAGTTTCATCATGATTTTTAAAAATAAGGGACATATACTTTCTTACAAGTGTTGTGGCCATCAAGAATTGCTAAGGAGACACAACAATTAACTGGTATGGGAACCAGCTAGGAATCTAGAACAGAAAGATGAAATTAGGTAAAAACCAAAGAAACCTAAGTAAGGATGGTCTTTAGCTAATATTAATGTACCCATACCAGACAATTAAGAATGTACCATATGAATGGGTTATTGGGTCTGGAGTATGTGGAAACTTTCTGCATTATCCCTTTAAATTTTCTAAACACAGTAGTTATCATAAAAAATAAGGCTGTTTTAAAATTATAAATATACATCCGATTCTACTGAAATGCTAATTCAGAGAAATATTACAAACATACTAGATGGTTATTTTTTATTTTTATTTTTAGTTGGTTATGGAGCTTGAACTCAGGGCCCGGGTGCTGTTTCTTCTCAGGCTGGCTTCAAACCGCGGTCCTCAGATCTGAGGGCTAGGTAGGATAGCAGGCCCAAGTCGCTGGCGCCCAGCTTAGATGGCTATATTTCAATTCATCCCAATGGTGATGAAATTGGACTTTGTATGTATGATATTTTAACTGAGACTATTTGAAGAGTTTAATGCAACAGTATTTTTTAACAAAATTCACGAGACTAAACTGAGCATAATTTGATTTTTAAAGAAATTATACTTAAAGCCTTGTTTTGGAACTTGGAAGAGAAAAGAAGAGATCACACCTTACTGCAGTTCTCATCTGTCAGGGCTGACCCTGGTCATCATCGGGAATTCACATAAAAACTTGAGGGGTTCTGGAAGGTGTGGTTCATGAGTGGGGTGTGTGCCATTCTGGGTCAAATGTCAAGGGGGTGTTGGGTTACACATCTGTGGCAGCATGCGTCCAACTCAGCCTAAGTGAGGCATCATCTGCTACCCAGCTGTCCTGAGGACTGAATCGTGTGTCATCTCCTCTTGTGACATGAAGCCCTAAAAAGGTTTTCATTTCATGTGCAATCAGAACAAAAATGGATTTTTTTTTGCTAGCAGTATTTTGTAAAAAAAAAAAAATAATAATCGAGTTACAGAACTTTTCCTTCTGGTCAAGATGGAATGAAGGAACAGATTTATTTACTCTACTGCATGAATCAACCAAGAAAGCAGACAAAATATACAACAGCTGGCAAGATACTGAATAGCAGACTATGGAAGATGGTGTCACTGAGAGATGGGAAAGAAAAGAAGTCCCTGTGATTGCCCCCAGTTTCCAGGCCCCAAGAGAGAAAAGAGTAACCTGGTAGAGTTTTCAAATTGGGGAGACAGAACTGAGAGTCCAAGGAAACAAAAACAAAACTAGAATTTTCCAAGGGTAGAAAAGGAGGGGAATGAGCTGAATGCAGAGAGAACTCAGGAAGTCTATAAAGGGTCTCATTCTATGGAGCAGCAAGTACTCAGGAGGGAACTACTTAGACAGAGTTGTCTACGAAGAATGAGAGGTAACAGGGCCTGGTGCTCATGCAGAACGAGAAGTAACACCTGTTCCCATCAGCCAACTGAAAGGCCTCATCAGTCATGGAGAATTGCATAGAATATACAGAACAATCTCTCTTGCATTAGTTTTAGCAAATTTGAGTCCTAGATTGAGAACCATTCTGGGACTACAAAATCTGAAAGGATCACATTGTTCCCAAGGAACTTAATCATGCTCCTAAAATTTGAGAATACAGAAATATCTATTACTAAAAACATAACATTCACAATATCTTATATCCAATACATTACTGAGTTTGAAAAGTGGCAGGAACTTTTAAAAATAGCCCACAATAAAAACATACATTAATCATTAAATCAGAACCAACCCAGATATTAAAACCACCAGAAAAAGACATTATGAGATTAACTACAGCTGTATTCCATATGTTCAAAGAGTAAGTAAAAGACATAGATTACTGGAGATGAAGACTTCAGTGTCTAAGACACAGAGCACTTGGAGAATGGATTAGCTGCAGGTTATACATTGCAGAAGGACATAGTAATGAGTTGGACTATAAAAAAACTCTCCAAGCTGGACATGGTGGCACATGCCTATCATCCCAGCTACACAGAAGCATAAATAGGAAGATTTCAGTCCAGGTTACCCAACAAAAATTCAGACCTTATTTACAATAAAAAATAATAATACAAAAAGAATGAGGATATGACTAAGGTGGTAGAACATCTGCCTAGCAGAATGTGAGGACTTGTGTTCAAACCTCAGCAATGCAAGGAAGGAAAAAGGAGGAGGAGGAGGAGGAACAGGAGGAGGAGGAGGAGGAAGAGGAAGAGGATAAGTACCTATCCAAAATGAGGCACAGGGTGAAAACAGATTTGAACAGATATCCCACATATATGTAACTGGCATCTCTGAAAAAGAGAGATAAGGAAAAAGTATTCAAGCTAGATGTTGGTGGCTCACAGTTGTCATCCTACCTATTCAGCAGGCTGAGAACTGGAAGATCAAACTGGAAGATCTTCTTAAGCCAATTTAAGCAGAAAAATCAGCAAGACTGCATCTCTAATTTACCAGGAAAATGCCAGACTGGAAGCATGGCTTAAGTGGTTGAGTGCCAGCCATGAATATAAAAGCCAAGGGACAATATGAGGCCCTGAGTTCAAGTATACACACACCCCCAAAATAATAGCCAAGACTTCCCCAAATCGGATAAAATCTCTAGATTTATAGTTCTAAGAAGTTTATAAAAACCCAAGACATAAAGAATATGACATAAATCAAACCAAGGTATATGATAATTTAATTGCTGAACACTGGGATAAAGAGAAAACACTAAAAGCAGCCGTGGAAATAGGAAACCATGTCACATTTAGAGGAACAAAGGGAAAAGTCTCAACATAAAGCAAATGGTAAGCAAGGTGATTTGTCATCAGAAACAAGACAAGCAAAAAAGTCATTGGAGAATCATTTAAATTTTTTTTAAATTTCAACCTAAGCACCAGTGGCTCATGCCTGTAATCTTAGCTACTCAGGAGGCTTGAGATATTAGGACCAAGGTTCAAAGCCAGCCCAGGCAGTAAAGTTTATGAGATTCCTATCTCCAATGAATTTTGAAAAAAGAAATGGAGCTCCTTAAAGAGTATAACACTAGCCCTGAGCAAAAATATTCTGGGGGCGATAGTGGGGAGGAGGGAGGCTGGGAAGGAATGGGAAGGGGAAACAAAGGAAGAGGCAACAACGTTTGATAAGAAATGTACTCATTACCTTGCCATGTAATTGTAACCCCTCTGTATGCTATTTTCACAATAATAATAATTATAATAAATTCTGGAGCTCCCAGGCTCTGAGTTCAAGCCACAGAACTGGCACCAAAAAAGTAGGTAAAATAAGATTTTTTTTTTCAGATATACAAAGCTGAAGTGATTTATTATCAGCAGATCCACAACTCTAGTTATGATAAAGGAAGTCCTTCCATAGAAGGAAATGTGAATATACACCAAAGAATATAGACTGCCAGAAATGATAGCATATACAATTGTTCTTGTTGTTCCAGTCACTTGAAGAGCAAATTTGTTATTTTAAATGAAAATACTAATCATATATTGTAAATTGTGAAGAATACATCTAAGCAAAATGAATGAGTTACAAAGTAGAGAGGTAAAAATGCAACCACACCACTGCAGGTGGTGTGGTTGTAAAGTATATGTCTATGTAAAGTGGTATAAGCCTACTTGAAAGTAGATTGATCAATTAAAGCTGTATATACAACTTAATGCATCCAATAGAATTAGAAGAAAAATAAGAATAATGCCAACAAAGGAAATAATATTCAATTTATCCAAAAGGCAAAGATGCAAAAGAAAATGACTGAGACATATAAAATAAATTAACAAGCCGAGAGCCAGTGACTCATGCCTGTAATCCTAGCTTCTCAGGAGGCTGAAATCTGAGGATTGTGGTTCAAAGCCAGTCTGTACAGGAAAGTCCATGCGACTCTTATCTCCAACAAACTATTCAGAAAAAGTCATAAGTGGCACTGTAGTTCAAGTGGTAAAGCACTGGCTTTGAGTACAAAAAGGCTCAAGAACAGCACCCAAACTCTGAGTTCAAGCTCCAGGACTGGCAAAAAAATTAAAAAATAATAATTTTAATGCTCTGTGTCCTTCAATCGACAAGGAGAAGCTGTTATATTAGATAATAAGTAAGACCAAACTATATTCTGTCTTCAGCAAATGCACACAGAATACAAAAACAAAAATAAAAGTCAAAGAGTGAAGAAAGCTTTTTAAGCAGTAACCAAAACAAATCTGGAGTGTATATGGTAATAGCAGAATAATAAACAGAGATAAAGAAGGTCATTGAATCAAGAGGTTGTTTAAATTCTCAATGTAACTATTAATCTAATATCATACTGTCAAAATAAATAAAGCTGGTAATTAAAGGAGAAATACATGTTCACAATTAGAGCTGGGGATTTCAGTGCTCTTCTTTCCAAAATAAAAGCATAAGTAGACAATAAATCTTTTAAGAATATAAAAGACTTGACCATTGATATCAATGGGGTTAACCTAACCAACTTTTGTAAAACATTCCAGGAAGTATAGTACACAATCTTTTTCAAGGGCATCCAGAATATTTACTTAAAATAGAGTATATTCTATGCCATAAAACAAGTGTAAGTAAACATGAAAGGATGCCAAATAATTTAAAATATATATATATATTTTTTTTTGGGGGTCCGGTTGTGGGGCCTGAACTCTGGGCCTGGGCGCTGTCCCTCAGCTCTTCAGCTCAAGGCTAACACTCTACCACTTGAGCCACAGCACCATTTCCGGCTTTTTTCTTTTTGCTTATGTGGTGCTGAAGGATTGAACCCAGTGCCTCAGACATGCAAGGCAAGCGCTCTACCACTGAGCCACCTTCCCAGCCCCTTAAAAATATATTCTTATAACACAGTGGAACTGAATTACAAATCAATAACACAGTATTCAGGGATAACCATTAAATAATTAGGAAGTAAATAACATTTTAAATGATAGGTAGAGAAGAAATCAAAAGAAAAATAACAATTAAAAATTAAAACACATACAAAAGAGAAGACAAATTATTAACATTAAAAATGAGAGTAGCAGGATGGGAAGGTGGCTCAGTGGTAGAGTGCTTGCCTTGCATGCATGACGCCCTGGGTTTGATTCCTCAGCACCACTTAAGCCAGAAGTGGCACTGTGGCTCAAGTGGTAGAGTGCTAGCCTTCAGCTGAAGAGCTGAGGGGCAGAGCCTAGGCCTAGAGTTCAGGCCCCATGACCAGCAAAAAAAAAAAAAAAAAGAAAAAAGGGTGGGGGGAAGTAGCAACAACACTATGGAACCTACAGGAATTTAAATGGGTATCACATACATATCAAGAACAAATTGAATCTCAACAAATTTTACAACTTAGTTGAACTATACCAACTCATTTCTAATTCCCAAAGTCATTCAAGAAAAGATGCATATCCTGCTCTATATCTGTTATGAAAATTAAAATGGCTAGTTTTGATATTCTCAAAGAAAACTCCAGGTTGAAGATGTATGACCTTGTTTTAAGAACCACCTTCTCAGAATATGACCCATTCCTTAAAGTACATATGGTTGAATGTTACATGAGTTAAACTTTTGCACTTTAATTTTGATCTGCAGTCTATGTTTTCATAGTCTGGTGACAGCTTCAGGATCTGATCATTATTGTAGACTCTGCAGCTTGATACAACACTCTTCAGAGACAGATGACCTGTTTCTAAAATACAACTAGACTCAGTCTTACTTGTAGAGACCTAAAACAGACCTGGGTATGGTGACAAGATTACAAAGGGGGATTGGAAGGCTGAGTTGGTGCAAACTGAACATGAAATTAAGCTGGTTTTGCAAGCATCAGGGAAAACCCTGGAACACACATATACCAATACCTGAGCCCTCTGGTTCATCCTAAGAGAAAATGAGTAGAAGCAGAGGAACAAGGAGGGAAAATAGATTTTCTCTTTCCCTGTCCTTTTCCCTTCTCTCTCTCTTTCCTCCTTCCTTCTTTCTCTCTCCTCCCCACTTTCTTGGGTGCCTTGAAGTGAACAGAAAAAGCTGGATGCACGGAACTCAAACGACTCAACCATTCTCAGAAGCCCAGCCTAAGGTACTCAAGAAACTAACACCCCTTAAAAAATAACCCAAATTAATAATGCACAAAGGAACTAAATAAGAGACTTCTCAGGAGATGCAAGGTTGGATAATAAACACATGAGAAAATGCTTAAGATCCCACTAAGATTGGCCTGTATCAAGAATATGAACAACAAATCTGGGTGGGGATGTAGGGGGAAAGGAACCTGGTAGGAATGTGAACTAGTTCAATCACTCTAGGAGGCAGTTTGGAGATTCTTCAAAATCTCCACATAGAACTACCCTACAATCAATCCAGCGATGCCACTTACAAGTCAGGACAGTAATAAAGATACTTGCACACCCAGGCACTATTCATGATAGCCTACAACAGATGAGTGGATCAAGCAAATCAGCTGCTATGGATCATGGCTGACTCCACGTGCACCATTACCATCATTCTCCCCACCATCTGCTCCCCTCCACACCAGGAGAGATATATCTCTGCCTGCAAGACAAAGCCAACAGAAGATTATCCTCCCAACTGCCAGACCTTGCTAGCAGCATATCCACTGGCACATGAGTTGCAGATCTTAATAGGGTGTGAATTTCCCCATCTGTGACAATAGATTTCTGATGGCATACCTTGGGCTGTCTTGCCTTTCTAGGCCTCCCTTTCTTTGCCTTTGGGAAGAGGGTAAGTAATGCTAATTTGCACAGTGGTCATGAGCATTGAAACAAATGGTTAGTATGGAACTTCTCATCATAGCTTGAGTACAGTATCATCACCCAGAGCTTGCCAAGGAGAGGCTTCAGAGCCCTGGGAGTGTGCACTCTGAGGAAGGAAGCAGGTACATGCCCTCCCCACCCCCACCCCCCAGTTGTCTGGAGATTCAGACCTTTGGGAATACTTGTCTCCACAATTAATCACGTCAGTGCATTTCCTTATGGGATTATTTTTATTCCTAATATTATTACAGAAAATTCTTCCTAATACATTACAGAAAATCATCCTAATATTATTACAGAAAAGTAAACTAGTAATGCAAAACAATTACATTTGGTTTCTAGTGTGTTGCTTTTAGGGATTGATGCTAATGAACTTCTATGCTCATTCAAAATAATAATAAAAAAAGAGAGTAAATGGCCAATAGAAATTGGAATGGTACCAAGAACATTGCTCACGGCATTGATGGTATGTGTGTGTGGTTTTATTTTATCTGTGATGTCAGGTGAGGAGAATAAAGCCACCCTTCTTGAACTTGGAGCTGTGGAACCCTTAACCAAACTCCTCACCCATGAGGACAAAATTGTGAGAAGAAATGCTACCATGATATTTGGAATCTTAGCTTCGAACAGTAAGTACCACTTTAACAACAACAACAATAAAATAAATGCTTCCATATAATGCCTTACCCCTGTAAATTTAACTTAAAGGGATTTATTTAAACTGATACTAACACAAAAAGTTAAATGCAACAAATCATAATTTCCTTTTCTTTCCTTCTTTCCTTCCTTCCTTCCTTCCTTCCTTCCTTCCTTCCTTTCTTTCTTTCTTTCTTTCTTTCTTTCTTTCTTTCTTTCTTTCTTTCTTTCTGCCTTCCTTTCTTTCTGCCTTCCTTTCTTTCTTCTTTCTTTCTGCCTTCTTTTCTTTCTTCTTTCTTTCTTTTCTTCTTTCTTTCTTTCTTTCCCTCCTGCCTTCTTGCCTTTCTTTCTTTCTCTCTCTTTCTTTTTTTCTTGCCTTCCTGCCTTCCTGCCTTTCTTTCTTTCTTTCTCTCTTTCTTTCCTTCCTTCCTTCCTGCCTTCCTCTCTTTCTCTTTCTCTCTCTTTCTCTCTCTCTCTCTCTCTCTTTCTTCCTTTCTTTCTCCAGTCCTAGGCTTTAAACTCTGGGCCTGGGCTCTATCCCTAAGCTCAAGGCTAGCACTCTACCCCTTGAGCTACAGCACCACTTCTGTTTTTTTCTGTTATTAATTGGCAATAAGTCTCACTGACTTTCCTTTCCTGGACTGGCTTTGAACCACAATCCTCAGACCTCAGCCTCCTGAGTAGCTAAGATTACAGGTGTGAACCACCAGTGCCTGGCTTTATAATTTCCTTTTTAAGGATTTTTAAATTCAAAAATATGTGTTAATACACATATGTCAAATGTATTTTTTTAAAGCTCCTCCAACTGGGAGAGCAGTCATTATCCCTTAAACTTAATTTTTTCTACAGTATAATTACATTATAAATTACTATAATGTAATTTACCTGCCTACATGTAAAATATCCATTACATATATTTCATAGTAAAGACCAGCCTTCTGGTAGATGTTTTGGTGGGCAGCACTGGGGTTTGAACGCAGAGTTTCAGGGCTGTTAGGGTGGAGTGATACTATTGAGCCATATCTGCACCCTTGGTTTTCACTAGTTATGTTTAGGGTGGTGTCTTGATCCATTTGGAGGCCCATGGCTAAGCCCAACATGCCTATGCAGGCTTGCTGTCATTGTGGGGGTTTCAGTGCAGGCCACTATGTCCAGCCCCTCTCTCTTTCCCATCTCCCAAGCAACTAGGGTCACAGGCCAAGCCAAAGGTGCCAAGCTTTGATGAATGGATTTTTTGAAACTACAAACTATTGCCTGTAAAAGATAAATTTTAAATGTACATATTTATTCCTTACTTGCTTGAATGGTTTTTATATATTTGATAGTATGGTGTGATAATATTAGTTAAATATGTTATCACATCTATTAGAATATCTGTTTGGCTAAAACCATGCACTCCAATAAAGGTTGTTTCTGACTTGTGAACAGGATGCATTTTGACAGGTGTAAATCATTTCCTGTGTCATAATGGTAGTTTGTGAGCCAGCCCATCAAAAGCCTCTGTAATGTAATAAAAACTTAAATTACAACTGTTGACTGAATTCAGTCCATGAAACTCAGCCTGTCAGGGTATGTGGCTAAAATCCTCATAATTTTCCCCTTCTGACCATAGTCTCAGCAAACCACAAGCAGAGATTCTTTCCCCTGCTTCCCTACCTTTCTCATTTTCTCTGCATGCTGCATAATGCACATTTTCTAATGTAATGTAGGCTCCATGACTTTTTTTCTTATCTGTGTTTGTTCATTTAATCTGTATCCATCCATCCATCCATCTACCCATCTGCCCCATTCCATCCTGATTGGCTGGGTTTGATCAGGGCTCTGAGGAGGAGCCACATCTGCATCTGCAAAGCTTAACCAATGGGGAGAGCTGCTGCTGCCTTTGAATCTTCAATGGCTCCATGGCTCTCCGGTATGATTAATGGTGGTATGACATGGTGAATACACGTGGGATGATGAATGGTGATGCTATGATGAAAGGCTTTCTTTTGATTCCACGAATTGAATGAAAACATCAAACCATTATTTAACTTGACTGCTTTCTATTGGGAGTATTTGCTGATGTGGATCCTAATTGCTTGGGAAGTTCTCCGCTTCTTAATAGAGTCAACACATTAACAGCTACAACTCCACTTTGCATACATGTCCGTGAAAACTCAGGATGAAAATGAGCAATTGGTCATTGGATGGAAATGAAAAGTTGTGTCTCCAGACTAACATGCAAATGAAGGCACCTCTGGCAGCTGCATAATTAATTCATCATTGCTGAGCAGCCTCCTCTCCCCCCACCCCCCACCAATAACTTGATGCGTCTTCAGAAATTCAAATCTTCACGTGGTTTTCATGTAGTCAAGGAAACCACTTTGTTCGTGGTGGTTCCAATAGCATGCCAGGTGCTACAAGAATTCCTAGGAGAGGCATCTCTCCCTTTTGCCATAGCAGATACTCTTGTTTTTTCTTCCTACACTCCCCGCCCCCCTCCAGAATGATCTATATGCCTGTGTCAAGCTGAGGTCTTTCAGGAGAGGCATCTAAGTTGCTTTGTTAAATCTTCCTTTTTTTTTTTTTAACCAAAATGAAACTATATTGACATCTTCCTCCTGCCAGTGGGTATTTAGTTCAATGAAACAACATATAAGGGACTTATGTCAAAACCCACATGAAAGGTAGTTTCGGAAGAAGCCCATATTATGTTCCTCCAGGTATCTGAAGAGCATTATATGTTAGCAAAAATTGGAATGGAAGCATATATTCAAGGTCAAGAATAAATTAAACAGGTCAACATTATGCACCAAAACTTGCGAATAAGAATGCAATTAAAACAGATGATGGGGATATCATTCAGGAAATGAAGTTCTGGCTCTCCGGTTCAATAAGTCAGAGTTCCAATTCAGTTGCCACTGCAAAGAATGTAAAAAGAAGGGGACAGAGATCAATACTGTCTTGAAAGTGGGGAAAAAAGCAGTTTGCTTGTTCTGTTTTGCTGATTTAACCTTAAGAAAAGAAAGCTTCTATGAACAATCTGGTGTCAAAAAGCAGAAGAACAAACCAATCAATTGGGTCACCAGTTTACAGAGTTGCCAGTGAACTGGAATCATCCATTCAGCTGCAAGGATATGGTTCAGAGGAGAGGAGAGACCTAGTGAAGGGTGTTCGCCAATATCACTTGCCATTTGGGCAAAATTGAGAATGAGAAGAAAATTTCACAGCCTGAAATCCTTAGGCTTGTTTGGCTGCCCAAGACGTGGTATCACTTGTCCACAGTAGATGTGGTGTGGCCTCTAACTGTGGCAGCAATCAGTCAGGGAGACAGCAGGATCCCAATTCACAGAGCCCAAGTATTATTCCCCTCAGTGGAGATCTGAAGGATGTGAGAGTGGAGAGTGTACAGCACACAGGGAATGTGCATATAAGAGTTTTTAACAAGCCTATAAAAAAAAACCTGGCTATGGCTATCACAAAAATGGTTCTGAGTAACACAGCCTGGATTCACATGAGAAAAACACTCACTTCCAGAGGATGTGTGTTGTTCAATTCACCAGAACCTTTGAAAGGCCCTGAATATTGTTTCTTAATCAGTAGAGAGTGTATTTTTTTTTGTAGTGCTGGGATTTAAACTCAAGGCTTTGTACTTACTACCACTTAAATGAAATTTTCAAGCCCTCCATTTTTTTTGCTTTAGTTTTTATTGTTGTTGTTATTTTAAGACAGGGTCTCACACCATTATTAAGTTGATTGAACATCAGTATTCTGTTTCTTCCTTTATAGGTGACATCAAGAAACTGTTAAGGGAGTTAGATATCATGAATTCTGTCATTGCCCAGCTTGCTCCAGAAGGTAACTTTACATCCTAACCTCAATTTCAAAAATGCAAATGGTTACTTTTTACACTTCTTAAAGTACATATTGAAAAGTTTATGAGTCACCAATTGTGAACTGTCATTAAAGTCTTGCAAACCATAACTACATATTGACATATGAAAAAACGGTGAGCTAGTCGAGCATTGGTGGCTCACATTTATAATGCTAACTATGAGAATCTGAGGATTACAGCTCAAAGCCAGCCTGGGCAGGAAAGTCTTTGAGACTCTTATCTCCAAGTAAGTACTAAAAAGCCAAAAGTGGAGCTGTGGCACAATTGGTAAGGTGCTAGCCTTGGTCACAAAAGCTCAGGGACCACACCCTTAGTTCAAGCCCCAGGACTGGCACCAAAAATGAAAAAGAAAAGGTAGACTATACGCAAGATTTGAATAAGTTGAATATGCATCTAACATATTGGTATTTATGTTTTTATGTACAGAAGAAATTGTTATCCATGAGTTTGCTAGTCTCTGTCTAGCAAACATGTCTGTAGAGTATACAGGTAAAGCACAAATATTTGAAAATGGTGGCTTAGAACCACTCATTCGACTGCTGAGTAGCCCAGACCCTGATGTGAAGAAGAATTCTATTGAATGCATTTACAACTTGATACAGGTAAGACTGGCTTCTCAAAAGTGTTTAATTACTAGGGATGTAGCTTAACAGTAGAAAGCTTGCTTGGCTTAGGAGGCCCTGGTCTCAATCCTCAACACTGCAAATTCTAGTCACAGAATTTACTTGTTTTGCCAGGCACTGGTGGCTCATGCCTACTTAGTAGGCTGAGATCTGAGAATCACGGTTTGATTCAAATCCAGCTTTGCCAGGAAAGGCTGTGTGGCAATCATCTCCAAAAACTACTCAGAAAAAGATGGAAGTGATGCTGTGGCTCAAGTGGTAGACTGCTAACCATGAGCAAAAGAAGCTCAGGAACAGCACTCAGACCCTGAGCATCCAAGATTCAGACCAGAAAAAAAAGTTTCCATTTAAAAGTAAGAGCCAGACACTTGTGCTTTATGCCTGTAATCCTGGCTACTCAGAAGGCTGGTACCTGAGGATGGCACTTCAGAACCAGTTTGGGTAGGAACGGCCATAAGACTCTCACCTTCAGTTAACCACCAAAAACCTCTTAAGTAGAACTGAGGCTTAAATGGTAGAGTGCTAGCTTTGAGCATAAAAGCTCAGGGACAATGCTCAGGTCTTGAGTTCAAGCACCAAGACTGGCACACACACACAAAAATTAACTCAACAGTTTTGTATCATCACTTCTCGGTACTCTAAATACTTATCACCAACAATAATAATAATAATATAATATAGATACCTTTCGATCTTCAAATATTAAGTAATTATCTCTCACGAAAGAATACTTTAAGGAATGCATATCTATTTTAAAAGAATAAGGTGGTATGCAGATTAAAGTGGGATTAGTCAAGATACAGTGTCCTTCTAGAAATAGAAATCTAAGATGGATGTCAAACCTGGGAAGTGACCTGTTGATCTAACCCTGCTAATCTAAGTGCATTGAAGGGAATATGTGACTTGTTCTATACACCAAGGCTTCGGACTGCATTTACTGCTGGTGAAATCCTAGTAAGCTGAGTGTGCCAGACAGAATGCATTGTTCCCCATAGTGAGATGCTACCCCATTGGGCTGTTTTCCTTCCCCTCCCACACCTCCCCTGACACCCACACCTCCATCCCTCCCAGGTCAGTGTCCTGAAATTTTAATTGCCTTCTCTACTGATTTCCTGATCACACCCTTAATGATCACAACATTTCATAAGCTTTGCATCAACTGAAAACACAAAATGTTATTTTAAATAGCTTTCAGTAAAAAAAATGGAAAAGAGCTATTCAAGCAAAAAGTGAGGGAGAGGAAGAGGGTTAATTGAGAGACCAAGTATCTAGACAGGGGCACAGATGGGCTCACAAGCTTCCTTGCCAGTGTTAGACTTTTTGTTGCTGTGACAAAATGTCTGGCAGAATGACTAAGGAAGGAAGGAAGGATTTATTTTGGCTCCTGGTTTCTGAGGAGGAACAGCAGTCATGGCAGGTACAGCATGGTGGAGGAGAGCAGCTCATATCATGGTAGCCAGGAAACAGAGAGAAAGTGAATACTTGTGCTCAGGGCTTTCTTCTATTCCCCTTTTATTTAGCCACAGAGTGGTATCACTGTACTTAGGGTAGACCTTTCCCACTTAGTTAATCTGTAGAAAAGCTTCACAGACACACCCTGCAGCTTGCTTTACTAAGTTCCTGGGTGCTTTTCAATCCAGTCAAGTTGACACTCAGAACTAACCACCACAGAATGTATTAGCATGCATCTTGTCTGGGCTTAAAGAGCCATTCTGAAGAAGAAGCTCAGCTCCTTTCTGCTTCTCTGGATGAGTCTTTACCTCATGGAACAGCTTTAAATTTAATTCCTATACATGTGCTTTTTGTTTTTTATTTCAAGATTCTTTTCAGCTTTATTGTCCTATTTATAAACCAAGCTGAAATGAAAGCAAGACCTCCACAATTCTTACTAACAGAACAACTAGCAAGGAACAAGATCCTTAGTACTACTGTTAAAGGTGGGGTGAGGGGAGGGGAGGAGGTTCAAAATCAAGGTATTAGTAGGGTCATACTCTTTTCCCAGAGTAGATAGAACTCCATCTTTACCCATGGTGACTAGCAATTCTTGGAGGTCCTTGGCTTATAGGTGGAACACTCCAGCCTCCCTCTTTGTCATCTTTTATAAAAACATCAGGCTTATAACGATGTCATTAAAGGCTAGACCAGACTGATCTTGCCTGACCTCATTACATTTGTAATGATTGTTGACTATTTCCAAATAAGGCCATATTCTGAAGTATGGGGCATATAATTCAGCTCATAAAGTTATCTCTAGTTGTTAAACTAAATATTCAAGGCCAGTTGAAGGAGAAATGTCGGCATGGGGGGGAAGGTGGAGCTAATGGTGGGAACTTTTCTGCCTTTACCACTGTTATATTGATTAGATTTTGATGAAAAATATAATTTAGTAGTCGGAATTGGGGTGGCTTTTCATGGCTTTTCTGTTTTCCCTTCTGTTCACTAGAGCTGTTACCTCTCACAAATGCTGTTTTCATATGTAAAACAACTTGTCCAGAATGTAGTGACCCATACATGAAGACAGATAACTTCTGCAAAGGCCACACACCTGGGCTAGCCCTGCTACAAATTTGCCATACAACATAAACACTGCTTAGACACATAAAAATCTCATAGACAGTCCATTTGAAGACAAAATGCAATGCTAGCATCCATGCCTTATCAATTACTATTGGAAACAGTACATTTGAATGTGAAAAGAATTTTATTATGCATAGATTTTATGATGATGCTGTTTAGAATAACAATTTACTGAATAATAAACAATAGATATCATAAAAGTCATTGATCTTGTTTGTTTCCTGTTGTTGACCATGAGTATTTTGGTGTTGTCAATTCAGAGTACACTTCCCTTTATTTGAAAGACAAGAACATCAGGGATAAAAGATGAGAAAATCATGACTTACAATGTTCTGTGCCCACCGCCCCCCCCACGCCCCCAAATAGTACTTCTCAGTTCATGAGCCTGTATTTTGCTACAGAACTTACTGATGTGATCATGTGTATTTTGTGGCAGGATTTTCAATGTCGAACTCTACTGCAGGAACTAAATGCCATCCCTCCTATGATGGAACTCCTGAAATCAGAGTATCCAGTCATTCAGCTGTTGGCTCTTAAAACCTTTGGTGTTATTACAAATGATAAGGAATCCCGGGCAATGCTCAGAGAAAATCAAGTGCTCGAGCATCTTCTCAAGATCCTAGAAACGAAGGTACTTGGGTGTTCATTCAAGCCTCTCTAAGAAATACATCTCCTAAACTGGCAGAGTATGAATAAATTTTTATTATAAAGAATAACCATATCATTCATTTAGTATTTCATAAAATGTATTAGCTTGATTAAATCAAGCTAACTATAGAGGTCATTTTAAATTAATAATAATAATAATAATAATAACTTCCTGGATTAGAACATTCCAGATTTCCTGAAGCACCTAGAATTAATTTTTTAATCTTTCTCTGTCATGATTTCTCCTAGGATGAGATAAACAGAGTAATTTCCTTTCTAAGCATTTTGAGAAATATTAGAGCTAAATTTCCATATTTCCTCCTATGTTGTTTAGGAATCAATTTCACATTTCAAGAATCTGTATGCCTTCTCCTCATACTTCCCACTTGCAAAATCAACCTAGCACTTCCTGAATAGCACAGAATTGTTCTAGAATGATTCAGATAGCTTTTGAATGTCCCCTGCCCTCCCTCCAGAGTGACATGCCAATACATAGAACGCATATCCACTGCTTCCATTCTAATAGTTACTAACTGGGATGAAATCTGACCAGGTACAGTGGCTCCTGCCTATAAGGCCTGCTACTCAGGAGGTGGAGATCAGGAAGATTAAAATTTGAGACTAGCTCAGGCAAAAAGTTAATGAGACTTTCTCTCAACAAGTAAACCAGTGTGCTGCATACCTGCTATCCCACCTATCCCAGCTAAGTCCAGTTCTGGGAAAAAAACATGAAACCCTATCTGAAAAATTAACTAAAAGCAAAAAGCTCTTAAGTGTGGCTTAAGTGGCAGGATTCCTGTCTAGCAAACATCAGGTCCTGGGTTTTCAAACTTCAGTGCCAAATTTAAAAAAAAAATAAAATAAAAAGGAACAGCATCCATTTTGTGATGGGAATTACCTGCATGTTTTGCATTAAGTTTCTGACTCTTAAGAGTTTGGTCAGAAGTGGCACTGTGGCTCAAGTGGTAAAGTGCTAGCCTCGAGCTGAAGAACTGAGGGACAGTGCCCAGGCCCAGAGTTCAAGCCCCATGACCAACAAAATAAATAAATAAATAAAGAGTTTGCTGATGTTTTTTCCTATAAAAGGAGAATAATTATAACATACCACATAAAATTATTGCATACTGACCCCATTTTATACATGAGAAAAATGAGACTAACAGATTAAAAAATATTACTGTTACAGAGCCAGGAAATATGTAAAAAGTATATTTTTCAAAGTTCATACATGCATTTTAGTTGAAAATTTTCAAATAATAGTGAAGTATAAAAGGGTCTTTCACTACCCTCACCTAAGATGGGGCACAAAACCTACAGATTTGCGACCATCAACTCTTCAGTGTCTAGAGATCATTACCAGGGCAACAAGGTCAGGACAAAGAAAAGTATAAAAGACCAACAGTCTGAGCACGGCAGTGCATGCCTGTACTCCCAGCACTCATAAACTGGGGCAGGAAGGCTGGAGAATCCAAGGATAGCCTGGGCTATGTGGCAAAATTTTGTCTCAAAAATAATAAAAAATAAACAAGGAGTAAATGAAGCTGCATGTATTCACAGATTATTTGACTGTGTATACAGAAAACCCAAAAAGTCTATTAGAACTGGTAAGCAGATCTATACAGGTCACAGGATACAATTCCAATACAGAAAAAAAAAGATTTTGTTTCTAGATAATAGTAATGAACAACTAAAAAGCAACATAAATACAATTTTCATTGCATGAATACAAATAGTTAAGTCTAACAAAGTTTGCCTATGGTAGAGAATACGATTTTTTGCACAGTTTTACCTGTGGAACATATAATATCCAGTTGCCTACTGAGTTAGAGTTTCCCCTTGATTTTCATATAATGACTTATTGATTTGTTTGTGTTTTGGTGGGCCATTTGTTACTGTGTTTCAGCTTGTGTGGTTTTATTACATGGTTCCTTCTGGCCTTCTGTCATGTTGATTTGTTTTAACATTGTATTTCTCCATTGGGCTTCCTTGCTGTGTCTCTTTCTACTTAGTTGTTGCTCTGATGGTTGCTTAAATTTACTTAAACATACCATAATTAAGACAAATAATTAGATCTACTTAGAATAACAGTGAACGAATGCAAGTAAAACACTGGATACTTGTAACAATATGTTTTACTTACTTTTCCCATTCTAAGTGTTGTTGTTGTTCATTACACATCCAACAGCACCATGTAACAATGACTTTTATTTTAACAGTCCTATATCATCTATCTTTTAAAGAAAACCAGAAGCCAGATGACAGTCGCTCATACTTGTAATTCTAGCTACGCAGGATTTAGATGGTGGTTTGAGGCAAGCCCAGGCCAAAAAATTCTTGAGCATCCATCAGACAGAAAAAAAATGGTTTCAGTGTCTGTTATCCTAGCTAGATGGAAAGCATTAATAGCAGAATCACTGTCCAGGCCACCGAGGCAAAAAAGCAAGACACTATCTCAAAAATAACTAGAGCAAAAATGGCCGGAGGTGTGGCTCAAGGGGAAACCGCCTGCTGAGCAATGGCAGGTGGCTTTTAGTTCAAACCCCAGCACTGTCAAAAACAAACAAAAAAAAACAAGGACAAAAAAAGTTACACATCTCTGTGTGTAGTGTCTATGTGTCAGAGTTTTTTTTTATATCTGTTCACACATTTGTTCCTTCCTGTACATCTACATGGTCCACTGAGTCATTTCCCTTCAACTAGAAGCATTTCACTTAATATGCTGGCATAAATTCTCACATTTTTAACTTTTCTGGAAGAATCTCCTTTTGCTTTAAATTTGGAAACCATATATTCGCTCAATAACAAAACTACTAATTAATAGATGTGTGTGTATATGTATGTATGTATTTCCGTTTAGCATGTTGCTTCTTGTTCTGAATGACATTATGTTTGGTAACATTTCAGCCACTAATTAGGACATCGCTTCCCAGAATGCAGTGTTTCCCTTGGGCTCCCTTTGAAATCTGCTTGTTATCTTTAGCTTTCTGTATATCTGTTCGCATAGAAGCAGCAGAACCTGTGTGTCCTGCCTGGGATCCATTAATCATCAGATTTGTAAATTCACATTTTCTATATATGGCCATGTTTTCTTGCATGATATTGTTTTGTTTTGTCTTGTCTTGTCCTGTGTGTTTGTGTGTGTGTGTGAGAGAGAGAGACAGAGAGACAGAGAGAAAGCACGTGCATGTAGGTTCTCAGGTTTGAAGGGAGCCTAGACACTGACCCTGAGCTTTTGTGCTCAAGGCTAGCGCTCTACCACTTAAGCCACAGCCCCACTTCCAACTTTTTGGGGGCTAATTGGAGATAGGAGTTTCATGGCTTCCCAGGCTGGCTTTGAATGGTGATCCTCACATCTCAGCCTCCTAAGCTAGGCTCACAGGCTTGAAACACCTGTGCCTTGTAACAAAATTCTGTTTAGATCTCACTTCCTCCGGTAATGAAGTTCAGGAAGAGTTCCTTTGTTTTCATATCACTTTTTAAGGCAGAGTGTGTCTTCGTTGTTGTCAGGAATGGAGCGACCTTCATGTAGAAGCCCTGGCAGTCATTGCCAACTGCCTGGAGGATATGGACACGATGCTGCTCTTGCACCAGACCGGGATGCTGAGAAAACTCCTGTCATTTGCAGAAAGCTCCACCATTCCCGACATTCAGAAGAATGCAGCCAAAGCCATCACCAAAGCAGCTTACGATTGTATGTCTCAACTTTATAGAACCCCTGCTATTCTCCCCTCACTAGACTTCATCTTTAATACTGATAATGCTTCTCGGTCACCATTAGAGCCTAGCATGAGACCACGATGGCAAACCAAAACACATCTCACTGGTGAGGAGTTAGAGATGGAGAGATACCGTAAATGCCCCATTATCTTATTATCATCTCGCAGTTTTCAAACATTTCCCTCCTAAATTAGATTTAAAGATGGGTACTCCTCCTGGCTTTGGGGTGATATTGTTGTGATCCTGAAAACACTGTCTCCAGCAAGCCTTATAAACTGACATGTATAAGGTAATTTCAAGTTGCAGCTGGAGTCTGGGAGTACTATGTAATAGATCTAGGAAAAATAATTTGCTCATAGTATATACATAATGTGGTTTTTGTTTCAGTGACAAGCCAGGTTGACATAAATCTGTAAAATAGAAGAGATTAATTTCATCATCAGTACTTGGGCTGTAATCACAGTTTTAATTTATGTATATTTGGAATATTTTATTTAATGAAAAATGTGATTTTATTTTTCCCCTTCTGCATACTACTCTTAGAAATGATGACATTTTTGACTCTTTTAAGTGATGTATAGTCTAAACATACCTTCTCACGTCTGTACATTTGTCTGTGGGTAAGTTGTGGGAGACATTTCTTCCAGCCATACTGGATTTCTTCAAGACTACATTTTAATGAGGTCAGCAGCAGGGCACCTGATGAGTTAGATTATCAGTGCCAATCTATGGAAGGCTGTGAAGTTAAGATTTTTATTTGTGTGTGTGTGTGTGTGTGTGTGTGCGCGCGCGCGCGTGTGTGTGCTTGGTGCTTCAAATCAGGGCCTAGGCACTGTCCCTAAGCTTTTTTTTTTTTTTACTCAAGGCTGGCACCCTCCCACTTGAACCATAGCTCTGCTTCTGGATTTTTGCTGTTCAATAGGAGATAAGCATCTCACAGACTTTCCTACCCAGTCTGGCTTTGAACGGTGATCCTCAGATCTCATCCTCCTAAGTAGCTAGGATAACAGGTAGAACTACTGGGAGGATTTTAGTACTGGAAAAAGTATCTATATAGTAATCTGCCAAATGGAACTGGTCAGCCCTCCCTCCCCCAAGAACCCCATATTCCTAGCTAACCGAGAGCTGAAGAAAGGTGTAATGGATAGATATGGACGGCATTGACTAGATTCTGCCCAGAGTGGCTGGCTCATTCATTTCTTTTATTTTATTGCCTGTGCTTTTGGTTTTATATCTGAGAACTCATTACCAAATCCAGTGTGACAAGGTCTTTCTCCTATCCAAAGGCTTTTACACTTCCCCCTCTTGCATGCAGGTCTTTGATCTACTTTGAGTTAACTTGTGCATATGATATGAGAGAAATGTATACCTTCATGCTTTTGCACAGAGATCTCTAATTTTCTAATTTCCCCAGCACCATTTGTTGGAAACCCACTTTCAATTTGTAGCACAAAGTAATTCAAGCAGAGCAACTTGTAGCTCTTTCTGGCACTCACTGCTTTCTGACTCCACTTCTTCATGTTCTAAAATAACTGCATTCCAGTTTTAAGTCGTGTCTCCTCTGTCTATATTTTAGAACCTAATGACAAAATCTGCATTGAGTTCATCTGTGCCGTTTGTCAGCAAATCATGCTCCCTTTCACCAGGACTTTGCCAGACTCCAGGATCTTTGTTTGTTCATCCTCTCCCTGCTTACTAAATTCTTAGGCTATCCAGTGACCATTCTCCTACCTCTTCAAGACTTTCTTTTATCTAAAATACTCTCTTGAAATGTGTGGATAAGTATCATAAACTGTATTTTTTAAATAGAGACTGGAGCCAGGTGCAGTGGTTCAAATTTAAAATCCTAGCTACTCATAATCCCATGAGGCCAGCCTTGGCAAAAGCTCATGAGCTCCTATCTCTGCCAAGAAAAATCTGGGCAAAGTGGCATATATCTATCATGGCAGCTACATGGGAAATGTGAATATGATTATCATGGTCCAGGCCAGCTCTATTTGAAAAATAACTAAAGCACAAAGGGCTAGGGGAATGGCTCAAAAGGTTGAGTCTCTAAGTTCAACTCTCACTATCACCAAAAGTAAAAAGAGAAGAGAAGAAAAGAGAAGAGAGGAGAGGAGAGGAGAGGAGAGGAGGGAGAGGGGAGGGAGAGGGGAGAGGAGAGGAGAAGGGAGGGGAGGGAAACAGAGAGAAAAGATTTTATATAATGGAAAGAAAAAAATTATTGCTTTTTTATTTCAATTAAATGATTCTCTTTTCCCTTTCTCCAAATTGCCAAACCAACCCCTCATCCTTACCAACTTCCTCTTCTTTGCTTTTCATTTCCATTTTACACTTATCTTTCTGTCATCCATCTTTTTAAAATCTTCCTAGGAAATCTCACTTATGACTATTTCTCCTCTCACTTGCTTATCTGCTCACAAATATCCAATCTTTATCTAATTCGAACATGTTTTCGGAATTTCTGTCTGTTATCGCTGACATTTTCCAAGCACCTCCAATGACATTACCCAAGCTCTACTTTTGGGGAGTTTTGAATTTGAGAGTCTTGTCTTGCCCAAATTTACATGTGTAATCTCAAGAGGCTTATGGATGTCCCGAAGCCCATTCATCTCCTGGATCCATTTGTCTCCAAAGAACTTAGACTCTAGAACAAACAGGATCAAATCCAGATTGCCTCACTTGGCATTAGAGATTCTTTTGTTTCCAACAATCATACAACTATTGGTGTTAGCTATTTGTTCTTGCTCAGTCTCCCTTGTGCTCTGGAGCATATTATTTATGCTACACTACAATCTTATATTTTTTTTCTGTATAGTCTAGATTCAGATTTTGAACATCCTAGTTTATCCTATTAATATCCATGGTCTTCAACTTAAAGAGGGTGGGAAACAAATCAAAAGTTTTAATTCCGTTATGTATCAAGGTATCAATAACTTTCTGGCCCATAGCAATTCAAATATAATTTTACATGGTTTAACACAGCATAGCCTATTCTGCTTTATATATGCCACCAGTTTCCTACCAGGCCGTCATCAATTCCTACTATAATTCAACAAAAGACTTGTGCAGGGACTCTGTCACTATGAGACACCCAGAAAGCCCAGCACAGAAGTGAACTTCTTCCATGGTCTAATCAAAACTCCATTACCAGGGAGATTTCTCAATCAGCTACCTGCCTATATAACTCCTTTACCATTGTCTTTCAGGTTTTAACTATCATTTAAAATCTTTTTAAAAAAAAATTGTGTGTGGGGCTGGGAAGGTGGCTCAGTGGTAGAGTGCTTGCCTTGCATGCCTGAGGCCCTGGGTTCGATTCCTCAGCACCATATAAGCAAAAAGAAAAAAGCTGGAAGTGGCTCTGTGGCTCAAGTGGTAGTGTGCTA